TCAATTTCCATGAATAGCAGCCACCCAGAAATCTGCAGTCTCAAAGTCCCTCCCATGGATTGGTAGCTTCCCCACAACTATCACCATCAGTCATTTCAGCTTACTGGGATGCAATTTTAAGGATGAGCTGTTCTAGTATAGAAACAAAATGTTCTCTTTTATCTCTGGGAACAGAGGTTTTCTTCATCCTGGGGCAATGTTTCTCATCTCTCTCATCTCTGTCTGTTCAAGCTTCTCATTGGATCATATCTACTTCAACATCTGCTCGTTTCAGCACTGGTGACTCTGCTCATAGCTGTGGTTAGAACACTACATTCTCCTAATGCATTCCTTGAGTTACAGGAAAAAAAGTCTGATTTATCAATTGTTTCTTCACAATAGCCTTACAAGAGAATTTCAGCCCAAGACTAAGGCCTCTCCTCATTCTCCTCCCATCAGGGATTTGACTCTTTCTTCACTGACCTTGATGCCTCCATGTTGTTCCATGTCTTCACCCTTTCGTTTTTTTTTTTCCTCTCCCTCTCTCTTGGATTGATGTCTGCAAGTTTCATCTGTGCACTGAGTTAATATCTCGCCTGGGCCTATGGATGGCCATGTGATCTCTGCTGGACAGTGGCTGCTCGGGCTGCACTGCTGGTTTCTGGCCCTTGCCACATTCAATTGCAGGCACAGGGCTGCTTTCTGCACAGGGCTGCAGGCTCTGTTTTAAGCCACATGATTTTCTGCGGTGCCAGCAGGATGGCTCAGCAGCTCACAGTCAGAGCGGGGCCCAGCTGGGATCCACCCAAAGCTGAGTGGAGCCAGCCATGCCTGCCAGCCGTGGTTGGATCTCGGAAGCAGCAGAATCTCAGCCAAGCTGTGCTGCGGGCTGACCTGGCCATGCAGCGGAGCAAGCATGGCCCAGGCAGCACTGCAGCAGAGCAGGGCCTGGCCCAGACAATATCCAGTTACCTGTCCAAAGGCCAGAAGCAAGAGAGCTTTTTCTAGGGTTTAGTTCGTTTTTAAACATGCTTCCATAGAGGAGTATCAATCTTTCTTCAGTGGTTTAATGGGGCATCAATATTCAAAATTAGACATCTGACTGGTTCTGTCAGGACCAAAGGAAGCTTTCAAGGAAGGAAATCACTTCCATAGCTCATGGATTTTTTTCCTTAACTAAAAACTAAACTACGTTAAACCACAACGATTTCTTACATATGCAGAATAGTTAAGTAGATCCCTGTACAATTAGAGGAATTGGCTCAGTCAGAGAACCAGTGAATCAAAATCATTTGCATCCAAAGTGTTCTGTTCTGACCAAAAAGCAGAGGGTGCTCTCTGTGTATTTTGGCATGATTTCCAATTACAGTTTACTGTTTAATCAGATACATGCTATAAACTCAGCAATTGCTGTGCTTTCTCCAGCAGCCATTATGCTCCATTAAAACCAGCCAGGATGGAATTCTTTCATCCTGGCAAATCTCTTTTACAGCACTTCCTGCTTCTGTAATTTCTTTAGAGAAGCCTTCAAAGACATGAAAATTAATTTTGTCACAGCAACATCAGGTTTGCCTTTACCACAGGCATAACCACAGGGCAATGCTTGCCTGGTCCAGTTCCAACTCTGCTGGAATTTCAAGCAACAGCAGTTCCTAGGAAGCAACTTAAAGCAGCCACAGTTTCTCGGCAGGCTGTCAGCCACTCCACTCAGACCCACACGTACACATCAGCAACAAGCACACACAAACAGTGCCCAGCCTATGCCAGCCTCACGGCATTGACGCACTGTCAGCAACAAAGCTGAAGCATTAACAGCAGCAAAGGGAAAATGCCCAAACCCCCACCATTCTCCCCTTGCAAAGAACGTGCCAGCTTCTTGATGGTACGAAGAAGGAGATGAGAGGAGCCACTCCCCAGTTGTGATCTACATTTCATTTTCTTACCTCTGTACACCTCGAAAGCAGCTGATTAAGAATTCAATATTTGGTACATAGAATCTTGTTAATACAGTACATACACATATTTAATCTATAAAAGCCATTCACTGACTAAGTTTCATGTACAACTCCCTGCATGTCCAAAATAAAAAAAAAACATTTACCTTGTGCACAGCGTAACTCACTCTAAGCTCTCAGCAGTTCTGCCTTGAGATTATATAACCCTGTAGCCCCTCCTATAGAGAACTACAAGCAGTTATCTACAAATGGGAAACCCCTTTCTCTTAAGCAAACAAAACCAATTAGCTCTGTTTAGTTACTTCTCACCTACAGGAAATAAATCCCTGACTAATGCTGACTATGTACAAATCTAAGATGGAGGAGAGGTCATGATGATTGGGAACATCTGTCCCAGCACAAAATGGTAATATGCCTCCTATTTTCATTACTTGGTACCATGCTAGTTAAAAATAATTGTAATGGCTGAAAAGTTCACTCGGTTTAAAAGAATACTGCTATGCCCATCTGTGGAGGAAGCCCAGTCCTCTGACAGGCATCCTCCCTGGAGATCTGCCCTCTAAGATAGTACAAAACTGCCTAGTCACTGTGACTAAGCTGTGGACATCTTCCTGCCTTAGGACCCCATGTTATCTCCCTGTTAACTATTGGTCATCTTACCCTGGTTTCAGACCATAGGCCCCTTTTCCAGTTCTCCCTATAAAAACCCCAGCTTCTGCCCAGATCAGGGTTAGATCATCACTGGCCCCCTTGGCTGAAGCCTCAATAAAGGACCCTGTGGAACGCCACATGGTCTCTCGTCTCTTGTCTACACGCAGCTGGGATAACCCATGAACGGAGCTGGCTAGGCTGATCTGAGCTGATTACTAAAAGAGCTGATCAAGCCTCTGCCTATGCTCCTAAGGGTTACTCCTGGCTGGAAATAGCCTGGGACTCCCCAGACAGTGGCTCCTTCCCGCAATCTTTATCTAGGTTGGTTGCCAGCAGAACTGGGGGTTGGAGAGACCCTCAGACCCAGCCGAGACACCAATCCCACCTTTATTCTAATATTTTCTGGTTTTCTACTTTTAACACCTTGCCATTTTATGTAAGTCACATCAACTAATTCAGCTTGTATCTGTTACGAGCTTCTATGACTTACTTTGTGAATATTCCTTCAGGATACTTCTGAATTTCTCTGAATCTCTGGACATCTGAGTGGAGCTTGTATTTGTTTTCTTTTTTTTTTCTTTTTTTTTTTTTTTCTGTCAAAAATGTTTCCCTGAACATGATTCAGTGAAAATACACACCAAAGACAACTGTAAGAGACAGTGAATGAAGTGTGGTATCAGAAGGCAAACTGCCCTCTGCACTCCTGACTGCTTTCTTTGGTTGACTGTATTGATTTCAAAAAGTCAATAGAGAATAAACTCCCATGCCCCCTCCTGTCTATCTAATCAATGTGGTTAATATTGATGCAGGCATTATCTGCAGTCAAGGTCAATATATACATGCAAAATGTTGCGCAATTGCCCTGATAACTGAGAGAATTCTTCTTTTGCTACACAGAGAGGCTGTATATATTGCAGTGTGTCACACAAAAATAATTGGTTGTTACAGTAGGAGGGTCTTTCTCCTTCACGTCCTTCCTGTACATTTGCTGCAAGTGTTGCCTGAAGGCTTCAGTGAGGCAAGAGGGAAACAGCTCCTGCAACAACCCTCTTTCATACATGCTTTGCTGCTGAAAAACATGGGTTTATTTCCTTTTCTCATGACAAAAACTGCTCCCAGCTGCATCACATTTCATATGAAGAAGCTGTTGGCTTTAGCAAGAGCTACAGCACCCTGAGTTTGCCCAGCTGAAAGCTGCCAGTGCTCTAGTTGTAGCTGGATTTAGAGCACAGGCTCTTTCTTTTGCAAACTTGGTGTATTTGGGGTTTCAATAATATCACAGAATCATAGAATGGTTTGGGTTAGAAGGGACCTTAAAGATCATCTAGTTCCAACCCTCCTGCCCTGAGCAGAAACAGCTTTCACTGCAGGAATGCACATATTTATCAAAGTTCAACAGCTTTGCTAACCTCAGTAGTGGAGCTTGATTTAAGTGATTGGAAGAATGAACAACTCCAGTACAGCTTGTATTAGACTTGGTTTGATATACAGTGATGTAAATCAGTATGGATTCCTACATTCCAAGGTCTCACTAGAGCCTGACACCATCCTGACTCCTCCTTTCTCAGTAAGTTTTAAACTGGTGACAAGCATTTGTTCCTCAGATTCAGCAGAGGGCTTTTAGCTGCTACAATAAACCTTCTGATAAAGGGAACCTTGGTGAAGCTGCACTACAAGAGTTTGTGTGTCTAGTGACAAAACAGAGGTGCAGTAGGACCCCTGGTCCAAGCACATTCCAAGTTAAGCTCAGAGGAAAGCTGAATCCAAACCTTTCATCGTGACCTCACCAGAAGCTGCAGACTTTTCCTGGCATTTCCCAGAAAAAAATACATGGCCGACTGTTTGGGACAGTCTCTCCTAATTTTCCAGCAATTCTTGGGAATGCCAGAAAAACCGAACCAGAGAGACCTTGGGCTAAGAAGTAGCAGGAAGAAACCAATGAACAGCAGCATTTTGAGTATGAACAGTGTGAGAAACAACTCTTTAAAATTTTTACAAGTTTAATAAGGGATAAAAGGGACCATACACAGTGCTGGGTGCTTGGAAAAGTGCCAGAGGCACACCAATTAGCTTAAAACAATTTTCTTATATATTTTTTTCATTACATTAGTTAAATGCGTATTCATGAGGATTATACATATTAAAACATTCCTGTGAGTTTACATGTTCTGGGAATTCTTTTGCTTGGTTTGACTGTGTCTTGTCTTCATGCCATCCTGTAGATGAGATTCATGTATTTTATTTCTTCTTGAGGCTCTGGTCTGTTGTTTGACATTTCTTGATAAGTGAGTGTCAGTAGTGAATCCCTCCTTGCATTTTTTCTCTTGGTGTTTATTTTCCTGGTTCCCTTCAATGTTGTCTTATAGTTCAGATATGATACTACACAAGTACATTAAATCATCATTATCTGAGTTATTCTCACTATTATCAGTTAGTTAGAGATATAAAGGCATTTAACGTTACAATGCACAACATACAGTCTCTATTTTAATATTTTTCGAAATCCTTAGCTATAATATATATTTATCACACTATGCTACACAGGGCATTGGCTACAAAAGCTGACAGGGTATACTATATTAAAGCAGTTAATAGTGATTTTAAAAATCGTTGTAATTAATAGTAATTTGCAAAAGCCAATACATAACAGCAAAAGGCAATGCCTACACAGTTAATTATAGGAAAGAGTAAGACTTTATTTCAGGTGTTCTCTTCAGTTATTTAAGGCATCCTGTGTTGTCCAACATACTCCCTAATCAGTGAACAATTTCCTTTGCTGATAGGATCAAAAAACTTGCTTTTAAGTGTTTTCCCACTGTCAGCAAACATAATGAAATAGTTTTAGGAACTTGAGGCTACTGCTCAGTAGAAAATTTTGATCACTTTGGGTACCTCCTCCTCTCGTATTGGGGGTTTCCTCTGGCTGCCAGGCTGCAGGAATTTCTTTATTGTGGGGATATTGCTTATTCTTGCTTTGAAGCTCTACAAAACAAAACCAAAAAAAGCACAGTGCTTGAGAATCATTGCAGCTGGCAGACATTTCCATGTTATCCATGCTCTGAAAGTCACATTAAGGCTTGATGCTGCAGAAGAAACTCTGTGCCTCCCCCTCTCATGCTTTTGGGGTGGTAGTGACAGAACATGGCATAAAAAAAAAAGGGTAGCTGAGGCCAGCTAAAAGTTCTTAGGGTATCTGATTATTTTGCATGTCACTTCTGACCCTCCCACTCTCCCATATTTCTCAGCCAGTTTAAATCAGTGGTCATTTCCAATTCATTATCCATTCAGACTGCCCACTCATTTACCTGCAGGAGAGGAAATTTGGCAAGTATATCAGGTTTGAACTCCTCTGCCATTAAAATTACTTCCAGTAATTGCACATCTGCCCTGCTCAGCTGGTTGCCGACCAGGAAGTCTTTTCCATGGTCTTTCAAAACCTAAAAACACAGAAGCAGAAGGAGATGATGTCTTTTCTCTGTGTTCCTTAATATGATATCTTCAAAGCAGGGTCATCCATGGCATGGAGCTATCTGTGAAAGAAGGAGATGCAGTTCAAACATCTGTAGGACAAATACTGATCTGATGGCACTGCCATCCTAGGCATAATCTAGCAGCTCTTTCTCTTCTGCACTTCTGTCTGGCAGCTCAGTTGTGCTCGTCTTGCCTTGGCTGCTGTAGCTGCACTGAAGGCTAAGCTGCATGAGATACAGAAGGAACTGTCACGCTTTTACATAGCATGTATGGTAGAGGGCCATCTGCAACTCAGGAGGAATCTTGATGTCAAAGCTGATGCTGTAGTGTCTTCTGTCTGAAACAACACCCAGATACAAACATGGACATTTGGGAACTCAGTGTGTGCTGGGTTTTCACAGCTTTACATCTCTCCCAGACTGGAAGGGCCTTCTGTCCCCTCCGTAGCGTCCTGTCTCCACCTTACTCCCAGCACCACCAAAACCAGAGCATTTATATTCCAGTGGTAGCTTTTCTGCTGTTTTCTTCCATAAAACTCTTGTGGATCCATGATGGCTGTTCAAGATACCAGTATCAATTGAGCTACGAACTCTTTGCCACTTACCTGTGGGGGACTCTGATCCAGCCAACAAAACACCCTTCCTTCCTTGGAAGGAAGGGATTACTTGGGATAGTTTGCCACTCTCTTTAGAGGAGAAACCTTAGCTGGTGTCCTGGGGTGACTTTACCTTTAAAATAGCTTGGAGAGCTAAGGAAGTTGAATCTGCTGGAGGCTGATGGGAGTTTTTTCTCCTGACCAATTATCGGTCATTTCTGAGAACTGGCGGTGGTTTTAACCATTGAGAAGTGAGACCAACTTGTGAACACCACCTTAAGATGTAAAGCCAGAGTTCTCTTGTTCTTTTTGGTTTCTGGCTTCTGAAAAGGTAACAAGGCTCTGTCTTGGCCTCCTCCCCCGCTCCAGGCTGGACAAGGCCGCAGAGGGTGGGGGGGGAGAAACGGAGCCGGCCGGCCTGGCTTGGTTTGTAGTTTCTGCTGCTGGACTGAAACCTGACACCATGAACATCTGCAGCTTTCCAAGACTTTAACTCTTTTACTGCCTTGATGAGACTTAAAGATTACTCCTTTTTCCGAGAGAGAGGGGAAGAGAGAGAGAGAGAGAGGGAGAGTCAACATAAAGAAGACATCATAAAACCATCAAAGATAGTGAAGAAAAGTTTTAGATGGGAAGAGAGAATAAGGTGATGCTTTAATTAAGCTGAAATATTTTTCTGTTAAAGCTATAGAGATAGACAATAGTGTTCTGAAAAAAACCTCCTTTAATTCATGACAGAGTATATTGGGAGGAATGGAGTGTTCAAAGTGTGGATTTTGAGCAAAAAGTGGAGTAGCTGTGATACAGTGAGGTGCTGGAACAGAGGGGAAGAAGTAATAATTGAAGATTTGAGGCCGTTTGAGGCAAAGAGAAAACTTCTGTTTCCAGGGAGGCTCACAGAGACAGATGAAGAGAACTTTTGCCTTTGATTAACTCATTCTTAAAAATGATGTCCCTAGACTCATTTGACCCATAACACACCTCAGAGTGATGTGAATGGGAGGAGTGAACTGATGGCAGGATTTCCGGACAGCTGGCGTCAGAGAAATAGAAAGCTATAACAGAAATAGTTTTCTTGTGAGAAACTCCATAGATTAGCAGAAGAAGACTTCTGTTTCTCTACAAAAACTGATGAAAAGACACTAGTAGGAATTGGGACTGTTTTAAACCACAAAGTTCCAAAGTTTCTTGTTTCTATGTTATCATGTGAACAAGAGAATGGTTGGGTAGTGGGGGGAAAAAGGGTTTTTTGGAAGTTTTATTCTGGTTTTCTTATTCTTGTAGTTTTGTTAATAGACTTTCTTTATTCTTTTTAAGTTTTAAGCCTGTTTTGCTCTTGTTCTAATCCATGTTTCAAAGCAAGAAATAAGTAAGTTTTCTAGTGTTTTTTTTTAGTTACTGCTTTAAACCACGACATTTATTTGGTACGTTGGCTGGGAAACAAAACTGGCAAATCTAAACCACTACAGCTGGCCACCTTCGCAGGCATGGTGAGGCAAAAAGCCTCCTCTCCAGCATCCATTTCAGTTCATGTTAATTTTGTGCTTTTTATTGTTTGTACCCTTTTACACACCTTGACCTGCAGGGGATAAAAGGTTAGTTCCCTGTTAGCCCAGCAGCATTTGTAAAGAGATTTCATGGGGCAGAGAGCTGAATTAAAAACCTCCAAAGAGATCAGATACAAAGCCCCACCTCTTAGTCCTGCTTCAATCTGAAAAACTGATTTTGACTCACAATAGGATTGCTAAAGACTAGAGCAGAAGTCACAATAGCCACTAAGAGAGGTGAGGACCCTCAGTAACCAACCAACAACCAGTGGACTATACATACCTTCTCAAAGACTGGGAAGTATCTGTTTGTCGCCTTGTCCATCATATTAGCAAAATGTTGCTCTTTTTTGTCTGCTGGTTGGTAGCCATATGTCATGAGTAACTCATTCAGATCAAACATTCCTTCCACGTACACATCGATTCTGAAAGGAATAGATCCACTTGGTCAGGTCAAACACAAGTAGGTATGAACAGCACAGTTACTGTTCATCGAGATGCTGGGAAATCCCAGCCTCTTCTTTCCCACACACACAAACCCTGGCAAAGTTCCCGCAGAAATGCCGTTGCACTGAGGGCAGGCATGAGGGAGCTTGGGTGAAAGACAAATGCAAAATTCCAAGGCAAAACATAAGGACTGTACCACTCCCAATTCTCACTAGGACTGATACCTCTCTTGACTATGGGTCTTTAAACCCAAATCTGACAAAACCAAATTTGACAAAATTGTCACATATGTTATTCAAAGTTCTTTTAAAAATCCAGTCAGACAGGACAACTTTAAAAACAGGTCCATACAATTTCTAGCAAATATCATAACATGTGTTTACTAGGGCTTACTAAACTGAAGCACTCAAATATACCTCAGGTCAACACATGTCCCCTAGGAGTCCTGTCCTTTCATTACCTGTTATTAATTCTAATTCTATACTAATTCCTGGTTATTAGAGAGAGGAGTGGTTTTGTTTCCTTCAAAGACACTGCCCTGAATGTGATGAGGAGAAAATGACGCTGCTGACAGCTGCAGGAGAAAATGAAAAGCAGCATCAGTAAGACAATCTGCCCCCCCGAGTGCTTTCTTCTGATGACTGCATTGATCTCTGATTGATGATCTATAGGCTCACATATGATATGGCTATCACTGCTGTAGACATCACCTGCAGTCAGAGCCATCTCATGCTGCACAAAACACTGCTCTGCCCCCTGAACCTTACTGTGAACTGGGGTATCCTCGTGTTACACTGAGCTACAGTGTGAGCTGGGCTCTAACAAGCAAAGGTGGTAGTGTCACAGTACAGGGCTCTCTCCTTCAGGTCCTTCCCATAGAGGTTGTACTTCGTTGCTATGTAGTTGGCAATGGCTCTGGTCTGCACCAGCTTCATCCCGTCCATCTCTACCATTGGCACTTGCTGAAAGAGCAGGGATCCATCTGGGGGAAAGGGAATAACACAAGGAGACGTTCAGTCCCTGAATGACAACCATGAGTGTGTGTTAGGCAAAGGAACCACATGGATTACTTTTTATTTAGAATCTGAATCATTTAGGTTGGATAAAAAATATTTAGACCAACAGTGGAACCTTTGAGATTTGAGGAAACAGCCAAATGCAGAACTTTAAGCTCTCATATACTGAAAAATACGTGCACTGCATATCCCTAAATCAGGTGATTTTCATGGAGGTTAATGAACAGATGGGAAGGACTGAAGGGTCTGACCCAGATACTTTCTCTCATGCTTTGCAAAATATATTTGGACTTTCTAAGCACTGGCTAACACACAAG